AACCTTACCAAAACATATATAATGAAAAAATATAACACCAAATTATTATAAATAGCATCTGTAACCTTATATTAGTTCATATTAAACATCCAATACTTGGTTGGCCCTCCTCGTACTTTAATAACCTCCGCAGGGCAACGTGACATGCTGTCGATGAGGTTATTGATGTAATCCACAGTGATTTCATCCAACTTGTCACTAGAAGGCGCTACAACTCAACTACAGTAGCTGGTTTAGAGTCGTGGTTAGCAAATTTTCGGCTCAGTTCAGCCCAACAGTTCTCAATGGGATTACAATATGGAGACTTTGCTGGTTATGGCAATCTTGTAAGAAGTCCTCCTGGTCAAGATAATCCTGTACAATACGTGCAATGTGGGAAATGGTATTATGATTCTGAAACAAAGTTATTGTTGTTGACAAACCTTGCCCTAGCATATGGCAAAAATGATGTCTGTAGGAGGCACTATTGACGTTTCCCTGGAGGATATGAAGATAAGTTTTTCTACCATGATGAATAGCTGCCTAAATATGTACTGCACCACCTTCTGTGTGTTATCTGTGGGAAATACAGTCTTCTCTCATCTGTCCTTCAGGCAAATGACAAACGCAAATCCTACCATCAGCTTTAACAAGCCAGAAACAGGACTCATCTGAAAATATATGTAACCAGTGTCCTAACTGTAAACTGTATTGCCCAACTAACACAGTGACGGTGGTGAATTCTGGTTAATATCGGGTTTTATATAACCCTTCTTGCAAAATAACCTTTTTTCGGCCAGTCCCCTATTCGCTGTTCTTCTGTATGCCCTGGAATGAGTGTGTTCATGCGATTCCTGTCGCAAGGTGTTGCAAGACTTCTTTCGCCCTTTATCTGTTAATCTGATCAAAATACTGTCAACTCGGGCAGTAGTTTTTCGGCGTCTACCAGTAGAATTTCCTGGAACACCGTTTCTGGTAGTCCGATGACGTTTCAGGATTCTAGATACAGTGCACTGGGGGATACCCTACTGTTCTGGCAATGTTTGTTTGCTTCATACCATTTCTGGACAGACGAACAATTTTGCATTCAAGTTATTTGCAAACTTGAAATGCCCAAGAAAATCATTCCTAAATGATATTTGACAAATATGATTTGAATCGACGGGAGATGTCGGACACAAAGAAGCAACTCCACAGCTTTTGAGTTATATATATATAAAACAAGTAAAAAGCTGCTGTATAAAATTTTCCTGTGATATAGTAACAGTCGCGATTTATAGGTGAATCTTTATAAAGAACTTGCTTAAGCACAAAACAAGTATAAGCCTAATATTAGTGGTAAAAAATCATGAACAAGTATACGCCTAATATTAGCGGTAAAAATCATGAACAAGTATACGCCTAATATTAGCGGTAAAATCATGATAGACTCCAGACGTTTCTTTCTTTCTCAACATTCTTATCAATCATACCATCTCGGATTTCAGATCAGAAGTATGTAAAAATAGCATTGTGGATGTAGCAAATGCCCTACGGTGGCTTAACGATAAGTTTAAAGGCTTATAACGCTAAAATTCGTGGTTCGATTCTTGTGTTCGCAAAACAGATAACCTATTATGCAGTTTTGCACATAAAACAAACAAATCACCACAAGTAATACTTCAGGAGGCCTTTCGTTCAATACAAGAACTACTCAACTGGGATAAATTCTATAGGAATCAAAAGTCTGTCAAAACTCTATTTTAACTACTGTTGAAACAAACAAACAGAAATTAATGCTTTAATGAAAAAAGCCGAAAGCTGGCGAAACGGTGGCATCCGTAGTGAGATAATTACGAGGAATACCAAAGGTGTAGGAAGAAGGTGCAAAGTTGAGGTGCTTGGCTAGACATGCAGATTTTACAATGAGAAATTGAAAGTATAAGGAGCTGCTAAAAGCAGCTCCCGTGCTGCCAAAACGATTTCAATATAGAGGGGTCTGGAACATGCCCCCTTCCAGAAAATTAATATAATAATATAATTTATAGCGGCTATACAAGTCATACATGTAAAAATGGTGGTGCTACAGTATCCCCAGCACCCCCGGTTCCGACGCCTCTGAATACGAAACACAAAACATCTACAAACAAACATGATTTTATATTACTAGATTATTAGGCTTACTGATTAAATTGCTTCGTAATGTTTCTGCTTTTAATATTGTAACCTTGATTTAACTGTATGTGTAGCCCACTGGAGGGTCTGTGGTAATTTTCAGGGTTCGATTTTTCACTGTACACAGAGCACAGATGACCCATTGTGTAGCTTTACACTGAAAATAAACAAACTGTGCCATTCTGAAGACATGTTAGGAACTTATGGATATGCCATTACCTGTGTATTTGTGAATAGATGTCTTTCTTCTAGGATATTCTGCAAGATATAAATTAATTTAGAAGCTTTATCAAGTTAATCGATTGTACAGTGAAGTGATTTCGAGGTTGTTGTATCTTGAAATGTGACATCGTATCTTCTGTAAAAGCGTAAAGAAGTTTGCATAAAATATCTTGTTTTTTGCTTTGATTTCTTTATAATTTCATGCAAAGCTACTCAAGGGCTATTTGCTTTAAACGTTCCTAATTTAGCAGTGAGGAAAAGCAGCTAGTCAACACCATCTGCTGCCAACTCTTGGGCTACTCTTTTTACCAACGAATAGTGGGATTGATCAAAACATTATAACGCCCCCACGGTTCAAATGGCGAGTCGTAATCTTTCTTAGTGATGTATATCCTTCTATGGTAGCTATTTCTTTCTGAAAAAAAACACGTGATTAGAAATATGATTCACGATATGCAACATGAAAGAAAACCATCATAAACATAAAGAGCCGAATCTTAATTAACTAAACAGTAATCATCTTGTAAACTATGAAGTTACATGCAACTTTCAGCGAGATGCATTTTCCAATGAACACTTTTACAGACACGTATCAGGCACGAACATAAAGAGCACTATTAACTAAAGTATAAATCATAATATGAAGTTAATTCTTCATTATTCACATAATGAAGTAAATAGATTATCAAAAACTTCACGACTCATATGAAATTGGATATACTTTCTTAAATATCTGGATATAATTGTTGTTTCAGTTGAGCATAAAAGAAATCATGAAATTCAGTGCAAACGTGTTGTCCAACTATAAAATGGACTGACTACTGGTATGGCACGTTGAATAATTTCAAAGCACCTTGGAAAGACATAATCCAACGAAAGTTTGATTTTTTTTTAATTTCAGCAAAAAAAATAATTAAAGGTTCTCTTAATATTGAAATATAATACAGCATGTTTCTTCTCTACAGAATGCTGTAAACATATGCTGTTATGTGAAGAGAATGCTTTAAGTGTATATCAAAACACTGGGCTACACTTTCACACAAGGTATGCATACCATTTATAGCAATGAAATGTGAAAATATCGCGTGTTATGTCTAAAAGGTACTGTAATAGTACACTCTCACACAAAGTTTAACAAGTGGGTACATTTCCTGGAAGTTCAAAGAGAGAATCAGGGACTGCTGGTTATCAGAACGCCTAGAAGTTTGTCTTCTCAATTTTACGTTAAGTAATATTTGGTTAAGCGTAGAATCTATAAAATGAATATTATTTTAAACTTACGCCATATTTATATAAATAGAGAGAGAATCAGGGAGTGCTGGTTATCAAAACGCTTAGCAGTTTGTCTTCTCAATTTTATGTTAAGTAATATTTGGTTAAGCGTAGAATCTATAAAATGAATATTATTTTAAACTTACGCCATATTTATATAAATAGAGAGAGAATCAGGGAGTGCTGGTTATCAGAACGCCTAGAAGTTTGTCTTCTCAATTTTACGTTAAGTAATATTTGGTTAAGCGTAGAATCTATAAAATGAATATTATTTTTAACTTACGCCATATTTATATATTCTTTTGTATTAATTATTTTACCCATTGTCATTGTTTTGGTACAATACGCCTTTATGGTAAATTATTTGAGGGGTTTTAGTGTATATGCAAGTATGGTATTTCAGTTGTTTTTGTATATCATGTTCCTATATTGGGAATAATTTACGGCTTTTAGGATAAATTTTCAGTTTCAAGTTTCATTCCGTTACCTTCTTGTAAGCGTAAAATTTCAATTTATTTTCGTTTGGTCATGTG